AGAGGGAGTGTGTGTGTGTGTGTGTGTGTGTGTGTGTGTGTGTGTGTGTGAGAGAGAGAGAGAGAGAGAGAGAGAGAGAGAGAGAGAGAGAGAGAGAGATGAATCCTCACTGGCGTTACTCTGCTTTCTATTCAGCAGTCTGCTTTCAGTCACACTGAGTGACATGAAATAAGAAAATGCAGTATATTTGCTGCTAACCACTGAAGACGTAGATGGTGGCTGTGCTATCTGTAGCACGCTCCAGGGTCTCCTTACCCATGTCTCTGTGTTGCATAATAGAATATTTTTATTGGTTCTGTTCTAAAACACAGCCTAAAAAGTAAATGGATTTGGATAATTTCCATTCTGTTTTATTCTTGGCTTGTGCTCTTGGGGGCTCACTGGGAAAGAAGAGAGGTGTTAAATTTCAAGTTCCTGTTCCTCCATGAAAGGACCCCCCAGGCTGAGTTAGGTACCCCTCTCTGTTAGATCATTTCCTATTGCAGTAACAAGACACCCGAGACTGGGTACTCTATAAAGAAGAGTTGGTTTAGTTACAGTTGGGGGCTAACAACATAAAATTGGGTGACCCCGTCAGCTGGGCCTCTGGTGAGGGTCCCGTTAGCCTTGCTGCATCATGGTGGATGGCAGCGTGAGGGGAGCTTACATGAGAAGGAGAAATTATTTAGGGAGACAAGAAGCCAGAGAGTAACAGGGCATAGGCTTGCTCTTCTTTTCTTAAAAACAAAAAACAAAAACAAAAAAAAACTTGTTCTCAGAAGCTGGGGGTGGTGGTGCACACCTTTAATCCTAGCACTTGGGAGACAGGCAGGTGGAACTCCGTGAGTTCGAGGACAGCCTGGTCTATGGAGCGAGTTCCAGGACAGCCAGGGCTATTTCATAGAGAAACTCTGTCTCGAAAACCAACCAACCAAACAAACAAAACAACAACAGCAATGACAAGCCACACCCTTGTTCTCAAGAGAACAACAAACTCTCTTTCCCATGCCAGTATCAATCTCTTATAGAAGGCGTCCGTGTGTCCGCCCCACCCCCACCCCCACCCCACCACTGTGACTCAAGCACCTCTCACTTGGTCCTGCCTCTTAAAGACTCCATGGCCTGTTAATCCTGCCACATTTAGGATGAGGCTGTCGGCATATCCCACTCACACACCTTTTTAGGATAGTGGCGCATTCTTATCCCTGTCCTAAAGTGTGGGAGGCCATGTCTCCACTTTCTCTTTCAAAATTGTTTCTCTTCCAGACAGTGATTCTGTTGAGGACAGAATTATGGCTCATTTAGCTCCTCCTAGTCTTAGGAGCTCTGAACAAGGAATGAGTGTAGATACTTAAGGAATTTTTACTAAAAATATTTGAAGTTTTATTTTATAGCAGTAGATCGAGCTGGCACTTAAAATGCCTTCCTCCCCCAAGAGGATTCTTGGTGATGCCTGGAGATGTTTTTATTTTTACAGCTGAGGGTAAAGGCCGGTAGTCTGTCTGACAAAGCTAACGTACTTAGGACATCCCCCAAGAAGGAATTCTTCAACCCCAGATCTTACTGGTGCCAAATTGAAGGCATCTTCATGATGGGATAGGTAGCCTGCTAGACACCGCACATCATGACCTCGGTGTGATAGAGTATAAGTCTCAGACCATTGCTGTGAAATCTGCCTTAGCTAGACCCCAGTTTTCCTGTCCAGAACATTCTAAGAGGATGAAGCTCAGTGAAACCAGCAGGAAGACAAATAGACAAGCTCTTCCCTGAGGTTACCACCCCAGTCTCCTCAGAGTCCATGTCATGGAAGATGGGGACATGCCATTGATTAGCCTAGATTTAAGAAACCCAGGATAGCAAGAGCAGCACAGTAGTTGGGGGAATTAAAATCGTCAAAGATCCTTTAATTATCTACAAAGTGATCATGGCGTTAATGTTTATTGCCTTATTAAAATTGAGGATGTTTGCTAGAATCAGCAGGATAGCCTCTAAAAAGAATGCAGTTGCCAAAGGGAGGAAGGGGGGGCAGGTCTGTGACAAACTGTATCATTCATTCAAATGAGGGGTAAAAGGGAAGAAAAATTCCTGGAGAACAAATGGGGCAGATAGACAGTGAGGTGCTGTGTGCAGATGCCGGTGTGAGATTAGTTATACATAGTGTGCAAATGCCGGTGTGAGATTAGTTATACATAGTGTGCAAATGCCGGTGTGAGATTAGTTATACATAGTGTGCAAATGCCGGTGTGAGATTAGTTATACACGGTGTGCAAAT